CTGGTTTGGCCTCAGCTGTTGGCCTGGTAGCGGTCACTACCACCCCTGCCATCCTCCTTTTTAGAAATAGGTCTTTGTCTGCAGGCCAGCTGGGAGGAGGATTTCAAACAACTGTCTGATTGAGATGACATGGAGCACATCTCCCTGCCCCTGACCTCCCCAACCTGCAGCTGTAGGGGGGATGAAAACTGGACTCTAAGACCAAAAAAAAGGCAGGAAAGCTTTCAGCTATACATACTTCAAGAATGGTATCAGTTCCCTCCCATGTCAATTTCAGAGGAGCTGGACTAGCTCTTACAGGGGTAGAAAAGGGGCTCTATAACACACTGAGGAATTTGATTCCCTCCCCATTTCTGGCACAGACTCCCTGGGTCCTTCTGAGCAAGTCAGTCAGCTCCAGGTATCCTCAGAGGGTCCCTATTAGTGTGAGATCCTCATTTGCTCAGGTTTAGACCTCAAGGGTTTGATTTGCTGAACTGCTGAGCATTCAACCTACTAGGGAAATCGAAAGCGACTGTGCTCTCCATGTAGCAGGGAACACGTTATGTTAAGCTCTCTGTGTAACCTGAACAGTGCTCTTCCAACAGATCTTAATGCTTGTGTTTAATTAGTCACAGTCTTGAAATGCAAAAGAGGTTTTTGAACTGTGAGAAGAGCATAATGTTAGTGCAGCTTGTTAACATGTACAAATTGGGAACAAGAACCCAAATCTGGTTTACAGATGCCCTGGTGATAGCAGGGTCAGGGGCCCAATGACCCAAATGGTCCTTTCCAATTCTGGACTCCTGTTGTGCTCCCAGTACTGGCTTCTCTTCTGTGTCTTTAACCAGCCTGGCTGGAACTGCGAGGAGAGCTGCCTTCTTCACAGCTCCTGCTAGCTGGGATGGTTGCCTTGCATCTCTGCTGCCTTGGATGCAGTATGCATGCAAGTTAGAGATAAAAAAACAACTGCATTATATTATAGCAAGATTATAAAAATAGGAAGGGACATTGATAGGAACGAAAATAGCATCTACAATGACATTAGCTAGGATAAAACTAATCAATCACTGTGCTCTGGGGCATGTGTTAATTCCCTCTCCATAGTATAGTGTTGCACAATTAGGTACATTATGGAAAGTTTAACACTTCCCTCCGATGCATGCAGCGTTGGCTGGAAACAGAGACTGCTGCGATCTGAGCTGGCAGTCCTTGAATTCACAGCATTTGCAGAGGACTCAAGGAGCAGCTGCACTACTGAGGCTGGGGAATTTTTTGCTTTAGCAGATGAGCAAGACCAGAGGGGACCCAGAGGGGATCGGGAACTCACTCAAGTGCTCACTCATTGCTCCCCTGAATTGAAAGAGGGGAGGGGTGAGTAAGCCTAATTAAGCCCACTCTGTGGGACCATTTGGTGTCAACTTTGCCTATTCCTGGCTGTGCCCAGCATTGGAGTTGTGAAAGACTCATCCCCCCAGGACTCAGGTGGGCAAATCAGGAGCATGCAATCTGTCTACAGAAGATGGCTGAAGGCCACAATGAGGCAGCATACTCAAGGTACAAACAGCGTGGTGTGTCCTTGCAACAGGGTGACAGTCATTTCTTTCTCTCCTAAGGTCCTCCAGAGATGCTTGAAGCACCATTTTCCAAATCACAGGCACAGGCACAGGCACAGGCAAGGAGGAAAGTGAAAGTTTAGCCGGGCACAGAAAGGTGTCTCCCTATTCTTTGTCTTCTACAAAGCTGAGACTGGCAAACACAGTCCCTCCTCCTTCACCCCTAGTCCTGCGATAGATCAGCTCTGGGGAATCCTGCTGCAGTAACTTAAGATGTCATCCTCTGCTGTTTACCTTGTTGCTCAGCACAAGGTTATTGCCCCAAAACCAGAAAAGCAAGAAGGAAGCTGTGCCTCCATCTCGCAGCCAGGCATTAATTAGCATAACCTGCTGAGGAAGGCTAACTTGCTTTGCTGTGAAAGGGGAAAGCTGCATTGCAGACGCACTGTCCTGTTCTGCTCACTGCTACAGTGGAGGCATCATCCAACAGTAATGAATGTCTAGGGGTGGGAACATTTTAAATGACCATGGCTAGTTACTTTAGCTGAAGTGTCTTAGGCATGAAAGCTTATCAAATGTTCATGCAAGTACATTTAAGGTGGAAAGCTCAGCTTGAGTTTGCAAAGAGCCTGCAACAACAGCTCAGAGCTGCAGACTTTCCCATTCATCTAGCTCAGATGCCAACATAAACCTCCCACATCCCTCCTCTTAATTATCTCACTGCTTGTCACAGCACCTCAGAAAGGAAAATGCACCTTTTACAGCAAAGATTTGTATCTATGTTTCCTAAAAGAGGGAAAAGGTACAGAGCTGACTGAGAGTAGCAAAGGCATACGTTGGCTTTGTTTTCCTGAAGCAGGTTGCAAAACCTCGCAGGGGCCAGATCTTAACGTTTGGGAAACACCACTATGGCCAGCCACTGTCTCTGAAAGCATCCTCAAGCATCCCCATGGGTACCTGTAACCACACCTGAGGCCAGCTGAGCCCACAACATGCAAAGTACAGGATGAGGCTGCATGGGATGAGATGAGATGAGATGAGAGCTGCATGTAACTTGCTTACCCCAGAGCAGGAGTCTAATTAGAGCTCTTCCCAGGATCTAAAAGCAAAAATAGCTTCAAGTTCCCCCCCCACCCATCCCATTTCTTTGCTAGTATTCTCCCAGCACAGCCCAGTCAGCAGAGATGTGTCGCGCTGCGGATCAGTGCCAAGTGCTGGCAACAGCACATGACATTGCTGAAAAAGCAAAGTTGCCTCCTTCGGGAGAAGGTATCCACTAGTGCCTCTGCAAGAGAAATGTATCTGCTCCCAAGACTGGGGAACAGAAAGTCAGGGTTAGGAAGCTGAAATCAAAACAGGTCGGCAAAGTTCTACTAAGACACCCACTCCTATTTTCTGTTTGCTGAGCCATAAAAAATACATTAACGGCCCAGCAGCTTTGTAAATGATTTATGGTCAAAATAATAAATTTCTTCCTTCTCTCCTGGTTAAAAAAAAAAAAGTGCAACATAATGATAAACTGCTTAATAAGGGAAAACAACTCGAGGTTTAAATATGTTCAATGGTATATTGAGTGGGAAGGACAGAGCCCATAAGGAATAAGATTACAGCCCAGTAAGGGGAGCTGGCACAGGGGAAGGCAGGATGAATGGGTGGGCAGGCTGGAATATACGACTTGTGTGTGGTGGGGAGAGGCAGGAGCGCAGGGTGCAGCTGCATGGGAAGAGAGGTGGGGATGGGGGAGGGACAACCGGCTCATCAGTGACTTAACTCTTTAACACAGAATGCATAGAGAGATATGTGTTCTGCATATCCACCTCCTGCCCCCATTACAGGAAAAATGCCATTGAAACACAGACTGCAAACTCACACCTGAGTGGTTTTTTCACCTACCCTGACACAACCATCTTTAGGTCTAACTCCAGTGCAAACAGTCCCAACCTACAGTCCAACTACGGTTCAACTACTTTTACCCAAAGCACCAAGAGCCGTGTCCATCCTCCCCCAAAAGCAGAAAAAGCAGAGGGTGATGGACAGAAAAGGGACAGTGCTTGCCCTATTAGGCACAGGCTGTGTGAAGATGCAGGGACATGCTGCTGCATGGCTCCCTCCCTGCAGACACCACTGACATCCTCTGGAAGTCCTCCAGGAACCTCAGGTGGCCACTTGAAACCCAGGCCTTGTTGGTGCTGCTGCATCTTCCAGAAATGACGAGGCAGCAAGATAACAGGAACACAATGCATCTACCCACCGAGACGTTGATGGGCTCCACCACAAACAGGAGTGCACCCAAGCATGCAGGGGTGCACATATGACACAAAGCCACTGAGGCCATGGCAGGGCTTGGGTCAGCAATGAGGATTCCAAGGAGCTGGGACTTCCTATGTGAGAAAGCTTCCCTGCAAGGGCGAGAGCGAAGGCTTGGCCAGGCTGGGCCAGACCTAGATCAGGCTGGAGAGGGGCTGAGGGCAGCCCCAGGAAGGAGAGGTTGGGGGAGAGGAATGTGGGGCTGCGGTAGCAGCGTGGGAGCTGGGATTGGGATTAAGGAAGTGCAGGGGACCATGAACAGTGGTGCCTGGAGGTAGGAAATAACTCCCCAAGAAATGGCCCCGCATCTCCAAGCCAAATGCAGGGGAGCTCCCCCAATGCTTCCTGGGGTACCTACCTTACCTGCCTTCCCCCATTACCAGTATATTCCAGCACCATCATCACCCCATGGTTGGTTATGATGGCCTATGGGGGGCTATGATGGGCTGGTCCCTCAACAAAGGGGTGCCTAAGACAAAACAAAATAAAATTAAATAATTTAAAATAAAAGCAACCCCTGAGGAGACAGAAACCAGCAATTTTTGAGAAGAAAAGTTTTCATTTACAGACTGATCCCATTTCCCTTGAAGTCAGGAAGGACTGTCACCAGGACGAGTATCAGATTCTTAAAGGATCTGGTCCCACAACTTTTGGCTGAGGCAATGCCAACAAGTTGGCTATCTGCTTTCCACCCCAGTTCTGTGTCTCATGTATGAAATGCTCTCATCCTATGGAGTACACAAGCTTTGCAAGTGAGAGGATATTTGGCAGATGTTCAGTGTTCACCACGCCTTTGAGCTCCCCTAAAAATTTTCCTGCTCTCTGACTCGGCTGTGCGTCCCACTTCACCTGTGCTGCCGCCTGCATGGCCAGCGAATGCCCACAGTTGCTCGGCCAGACCCTGATGCCTGGGCTGATTTGCTATGTCCTAGCAATTCCACTAAAGGTGGTCAAGTCACAGGAAATACACTCGATGCTTAAAGATTAAGCACATGTTTAAGTATCTTGCCAAATCGGTGCTTAAAGGTCTAATCACATTTGCATCCATTTTGATAACAAAACTCCTGTGGCCCGCTGGTATGAGAGCGAGCCTTTAAGTGAGAATATGCACAATCACGGTGAAACTTCCCTGTCTCATACCTGATGCTCAAAACAAGCCTGATAAAAGCATAAAAGCATAATTTTCAGTCTCCAAAAGCAGTCAGATTGAAACTAGCTTTCATGGGGATGTTCAAAGACATTAAGCTTCCATTTCTTGAACTTTGTTAATCCCAAACTACTTTGGATGTAAAATTATTAAAGTTATTACAAACAGACAAACAGAAAGGAAACAAAAAAGGCAGGCTCTTTTTCATTTAAATTGAAAAGAAAGGAAAACCCAAATTTGTCTTCTGATCTGGCAAATGTCAGGTCAGTAATTGAATGTTTCAGATTATGAGTTGAGCTGTCTGAAAGAGGTTGTAAAAGGACAATTTTCCACTGGGAAAAAAAGAGTTTTCATTAAAATCAAAATAGGTTGTAAGAATATCAACTTTGATGACATTTTCAGCGAGGGAAGTCAAAATGAATTGCTTTGACTTTCCCATTTAATTATGGTAATATTGGCACACTTCAGTTCAATAAGGTAAAAACACTTTATTTCAATCCGTTTAAACTTTTGCCATATATTTAGATATTACATAAATTTGACTTAATATAATTGTATTCAGTAACAGTACAGTGCTATACACACACACATACTTAACACTCTATGGCCTTTCAACATCATGTGAACAGTATCTTTTCCCAATGGAAATTCCCCCTGAGTTTTGTTCTATCCACTAAAAAATCTGGACTCTCACTGTGATGTGAAACGAAACAGAGAGGACGCATTAAGAATTACCTGGAATAGGTTGCAAGTTCCTTACCAGCTTTAGCTATGAACAACTCCAGCCCAACCTTCACATGGAAACACCCATAGTTCAGGAGCTGTCGGTGTTTCCATGTGAAGTTTGGTCCTGATGTCGCTCAAGTGGCCAGTGTCAGGCACAGACACTTCCACACATGAGCCACAGGAACACATCTATTTAAGCACTTTGCTGTCCTTTCCCTGAATGAGACTTGCTCCCTGCTCCCCGTCCTCAGAGAGCTCCATCTTCCCCACCTCCCCGCCCTGAAACCCAAAGCTTTGCTGCGAACGTTGCTGACTACAAATCAATTGCTCGCTCTCCAGCCATTTGGACTAATCACTCCCACGTTGCATGATGGAACCAGGACCAATACATAAAAAGTGCCCAGCGAGATTAATGCAAATCTGCTGTCCGTCTGCTGTGTGCCTTTCTGACACGCGGGTACGTGCCAGCACAGGGTGCAAAGGGAAACAAGTCCTAATTCTGGGAGGTTCTCCCTGCTCACAGTGTACCCAGGGTTGAGGCATCTGCAGCTATAAGCGTCCAAGCTGAGATCACTGGGCCTGACTTGTCACAAATGCTGAGCATCCTCATCACCAGCCAGTCCCAGCCCTCCTGCTCTCTAGTCGAGTACCCAGCATCATGCTGGAAAAGCTCAAGTGCAGAAAGTTGCACCGATAGCTCTAAAATATGCTAGCAGGTAAGGCGCTGGGGCAATGCAGAGTCTCCATTTTGCAGTGAGAAAAACCAAGATGGAGAGAGGGTATAAACTCACCTAAACACCATGCAGCAGGTCAATGGTGAGACAAGAATAGGACTTCGGCACCTGACTCATGGGCCTTGCTCTGCCTATTAATCACGCTCTCCACCACTGTGCCAAGTATTAGTATTGATTTCAAATTAACACACACATTTCTTATCAAGGAGAAAAAAAATAACCAAGAAGGTTCACTATGTTCAGCTCTGTTGGAGGCCAACATGATTGTAAGAGCAAATGCTTTCTGCAAGAGGCCCTGCTCCAAAGTGCCCCAGGCTGGGAGGCACAAAGCACTACCCTCAAGGAAGTGTCAGATGCTCACAAAATGCTCCAAACCTCTTAAGGAGGTTTTCAAAAAACATAGAGTATCATCATAACATGCTTGAAACGCAGGAAAGAGGCTTTGTGAACCACAGCTGCTGCTGTTACTGTACATGAGAATGTGCCTCCCTCCTTATCACCTTCTTTTCTGATGCCAAGTCCTGAGAGTTAACTCTGGGTGACCAAGCCTCATGGTTCTGTCTGATTTTATGCTTACCCCCTGTTCTTCTGTTCCCCTGATGTCCTAAATTCCTTTTTACAAGAGCTGCTAACTTTTGCAAACATAAAGCTGCTACAGGCTTCCCTTGTCTTTTAGAGTTAGAGTTTCAGGAAAACACTTTGCAAATTTTCCCTCCATAACAGATGCAAGAAGCTGCTTATGCCCAAGCAGCAAAGTACACAACTGCTCTGAACTAAGAAAGACTTTTTTTCTGCACAGCTGGCTCAGTTTTTCACACAGATGTTGTCGCTCCTGCCAAGTGTAAAAGCACACAGAGCAGCATTAATATGAAAGAGCCCAATTGGACACTGGTTTAACAACAAGTTGAAAATTCCCCAAGCACAGCCTTGATGCTGGGTTTTCCTTTTCCTTTGTTTTTTGCTTTAATGCACCCGGGTGTGTGGGGGGGGAGTAAAATAGAACAAAATCAGAAGAAGCCACTGAAGGAAGTCAGCCTTTCAGGGGTAAATTCCCTTTGTGAAATTCAAAACACACGTGTTAATCTTTAATGTTAAATCCTGGATTAAAAATTCATTCAAAAATCTCACAGTTTGGAACGCTTACAAGTCCATTGCATTATTAAAAGCTCGGATCAGTGCTACTCTGCATAAAGAAGTCTCTCCAAACTCTTTCCTTTCTCTTGAAGCCAAGAGCAAGTACTCACTGCTCTCCCCATTTATCCTTTAAGCTCAGAGAAGCCTTCTTGTGGTTCCCAAGAGTTGGCAAAGGCTCACTCTGGGGGTCTCCGGGTCCCATTTCAGAGTACTGCCACTCACTCTGTGGTCCTGGGGAGCAAACCCGGAGCCAGCGGGAACAAGTGTCACACTTCCAAACAGCACTCCCCTCTTTAGCAGGGGTTAGCAGTGGTGCAAGGTCATGGCTTGACACAACCTGGCCAGTTATGCCTTTTTGAAACCAGATCCTATCCACGGGCATCAAAAACATCACTGGCCTCAACCTTTGTCCGAGTACCTTGGCAATGCTGGGGAGGACCTGCACCAAATTCTGCAGGTCAGCCCCAGAGTTGAGCTTGCTGGTGCCTGCAAACACCCTCAGTTTTAACAAAGTGATGTGGGATGCACAGCCCCAAGGAAAGAACCGTCTGTGCCTGATGTGGTGCGGGCTGCCACAACTCACTGTGGCAGAGGACCTTTTTCAGAGGACTCACCGAAATATTTTGCATCATGGAAGGAAGAATTGTTCCCAAACTGCCCTGTGCCACCTTGCTACAAAGGTTCTTGGTTAGAAACACAGAGTACGAGGCTGAGCCCTCAATTTTACTTACTTTTTTGTGCTCCTTTTGTGTTTGCCTGGGGAGCGGGGACCGAGGGACCAGGCAGCATGTGCAGAGGTGTTGCAGTTTTTACAAGTATTTTTGGAGCCATTTGCTCTCTTACCAGCTGCAGTCTTACAACGCTGCAGTAGGCTGAGCAGGAGGTTTGCATCTCTAGAGTCTGTGGTACCACGTCATTTACCATAAGGGGTAAAACTTTTTTTTTAAGCATCAATGTTTTTAACAGCCACCTCAGCACAGATGCACTAGTGGTTACCATCATGAAGCAGCCTCTCTCCTACCCCCTTTCCTGCACTCACAGGCTTGTTTCCTTCCAAATGCTCCACCTGAGACCATCTCCAGGAGGCTGCCCTCACCTGCAGCCAGCTGGGTCTGTGCCAGATGAACCACCGCGCCAGCAGAGGCAAGCCCTGCCCACGCACCTCCCAGGCGAGGAAGGTGCACCGGCAGCAAGCACAACTCTGGGAGGGGGTGTCCCCCTCGGGGACATGCTGATGCCTGTCTGACCCTCCAGATGCCATCGGAGGAGAGGACCTCTCATCTGCAGTCAAGACTGCTGCCTGCTGCACGAAAGGTACTGGGTGATACCAAGTACGCTGCACTGCACACCACAATGGGCAACCCCGATGTCACCAGACTCCGGGCAAAAAGGATGCAATCTGTCCCTAGCTTTAAAGTGGTACTTGTCATCAGGGAGGAAAAAAAAGAAAAGAAAAAACACACAGAAGAGATTAAACACGTACAAATCGCACTTAGCTCTCCCTTGTTTATCATAACTCTTCCTGCCATATTTTCTAATGACAATAATAATAATCTCTGTAGTAGAATCATGCTTTGGCTTCTTTCCCAGATTCTCCTCTTGTTCACGAGGCAGTAAAGTCATTGTATTACCAAAACTTCACAGAGACCTGGCTTTGCAGG